TATATTTAATATATGTGTATCCACATCTATGTGCAGAGGCATGTAAAAAGGCCAACAGTTCTGTTTACATGTCCGGCCATTGGCCGTTCGCTTGGGCAGCCCATTTTTAGCCGCGTTCAGTGTAAACAAGTTGGCAAATGGCATTTTCGGGCCGAAATCTGTGAACCGCTCTGCGCCGTTTCGCTGTGGGTCGTTGCCAGCTAAACGCAGCTTCCTGGCCAAATGCGACGCAAAATCAATCAACGCCAACTGTTAATTTGCTGCACGCAATCAATGTGTGGCTGCTGCGTGCTGCGTGCGTGCGTCAGTGCTGCTGCCACAAGGTGTGGCAGGCAAGGTGTGAGGTTCAGCAGACAATGCGGCGCCAGCTGTATGTCCTTGTGACGACTCCTGCTGCTGCTGCTGCGGCCGTTGCTGCTGCTGCTGCATGTGGCATGTGGCATGCCCCAAATGGCGTCGAATCAATCAAAATGCGTACGCAAGCCAAGTCAGGCCAAGGCGCGCGCGCGCTCGTTCGAGTTACGCGCAATTTAACCTGTCTGCCAATTCGCAGCTTTATATGCTGCCTCTCGTTCACTCACTGATGTGTCGTCTCTGTCTAGCGCCCGCTCAATTATCATAATTGCGCGCACACACACACACACACACAAACAGAGACAGACAAGCTGAAATGATAATGTCGGCGCCAGCATTTCCGCTTTTATGAGCGCGGCTACAGCTTTGCCGCCCACTCTGCCCCGTTCAAAGCCTCGCCCAGCTCGGTGTGCGTGTGTGTGCGTGAGTGGGTGCCATCCAAAAGTCCATGTCCATGTCTATGTCCATGTTGTAGCTGCCTGACACGCACAATTAAGTGCCAGCTGCCATTCCTTGCCACTCTCTCTCCTTCTCTCTCTTTCTTCCACTCACTTCCTCTCTCTCTTTCTCAAGGATAACGATTAACGATAAACGCGCTGGCAGGTTTGCTTTGCTTTGCTTTTTCCCTCGATTTTCTTCCTCTCTCTCTCCCTCTCCCTCTCTCTCTCTTTCTCTCTCGCTCCTTCTCTGGCGATATCAAATCAAATAAAATGGAATTTACTACACTCACGCACGCTTCCATGTTCTATCTGGTCGTGGCCCAGCCCAAAACAGCTTTGCCCTCAGCTCGTTCGCTTTTCGCTGTTCGTTTCGACTATTCGACTATTTTTATATCTATTTAACATTTTCATTTCCGTTTCGCCTTAATGCACTTGACCTTCAGCCAAAAAAAAAAAAAAAAAAAAAATTGAAATAATAATAAAAATTGAAAAACAAATAAAATCTGAAAATCTGTGAGCTTCTGCGTTCGTGTTTGGGTTTATTCTCAAATATTCTGTTCCATAGCAGGCCAAGCGAAACAGCAACAGCGAAATCTATTCCGAGGCTTCCGGGCAATATACACAGCTAGTTCTATATATTTCTTAATGATCAATTAAATATGTTTGAAGGCAATGCAATTTCAGTTCTCATTTCATTTCAATTCAATTTTCAGTTTCAAATCATCAAATACTCAAATTTGGCAGAGTTTCCATTTAACTTTGTTTCAATATGAATTTTATGTACAAAGTTGATGAAAAACTGTTCATTTCCATTGAAACAAAGTTGAAGCAATTAAGTGGATTTCAATCGGATTGAAGCTGAGTGTAAATCGCTTCAAATATATATTGACACTTTCAGATAATTGAATTGCGCTTCAAATTGCCATATATACAGCTCTGTTTCAACCCGCTTTCAATCAATTTCAATTCAATTAAAAAAAAAGTCGAATTACATTAAATTTCTGAATTAAACATAATTGGAATTGTTTTTTTTTTCTTGTGCAATTTTTGTATTTTGCTAAATTTGCATTCAATTTCGTTTCAATTGTTGTTCAACTTTGATTCAACGAGCACTGAAAATGTTCTAGAAAATCGCACTCGCAAGGCAAAAGGCCACGTTTCATGCTCTCCTCGCTATTGTTGGCATAGCATTGTGAATTTTGCAGTGTAAATTCCATTAGGATTATATTACCAGCCACACACACACACACACACACATACGCATGCATATCCACTGTTGGCTGTTGTGAAGCCACAAAAGTTGCGCTGGCCCATAAACTAGAAGAAAATTTCTTTTATTATCCTTGGCAGAGAGTTGGAAGCGAGGACGAAACGTAAAACGTAAAAAGTTCAAATGGATTAGGGCCAAGCTTCAAGCGGAAGCCCGACAAGACGTTGACTACACACACACATACACTCACACTCTCGCACACATATGAATGTTGTGCGTGCCAAGCGAAATTGTTGGAATATGTGTCAAGGACAATCGAGTCGCCAAGTCGCTTCACATTTCGCAGGGCGAGTGTGAGTGTGTGTGTGTGTGTGTGTGGGTGGGTGTGTGTGTGGGGCTATCATATATTGTGTTTTTTGTAGGCGTGCCTAGCTGCAGTTAACACACAACTCGCACACCTTCTGGCACGACTCCTCCCACACCTCGCCTCGCACACCACGCCCCCCTCGCCTCGCCCCGCCCACGCCGACTCCTGCTCCAACGCCTCGATCCCGGCGACATTCGGGACACATTTGGAGCACAAACTAATTGATATTTTCACAGTAGTTTTTTCCCATTTTCCCCATTTTTCTTCTCTTTGTTGCTTTTCTTTTTTTGGCACGCCTTGTCGCATAAATTTTCAAATTTCGCTGCCCGCCCCAGGGGACGCGCCGCACACGCCCAGTTCTCGACGCTGGACGCTTCAAATGGATTAAAAACATTTGCTGTTGTTGTTGACTTTTGGCAACTGCTAAATTTTAGTTAATTAAAGTTTTCGCTCTCTCTAAATATACATACGTATATGTATATGTATATGTAATAAATTGTGGAAAACTTTTCCCATTGCCTTGAGCTGAGCTAAGCCAAAATAAAATAATACGAATTTCCATTTTCCAAACATTTATGAATTGCTGCAGCCACAAAAATAGACAGAGCAAAGTATCTAGAGCGGATTGTACCAGCTGAGACAATGACGACCACCAGTTGCTGCCGCACAGAGTCGGAAATAGACATTCGCCTCGGCAACCAGCCACAAGATTTCAACTACTTGGAAAATTGCTTCTGATATTGAATGAGTTTTCCGCTAAGATGAATCTTAAACTACATTTCATTTTTCTTTCGATTTTTTGCTTAGCAATTCTCTAGAATGTTGGCGAGCCGCGCCAAGTCACAGTGCTCGACTGGGAGATACCCAGGAAAGAACCAGATATGAATAGCACAGAGCTGCGGCTTCTTTGCTCTGACATGAAACGTTTCGGTTGCGTTTATAATCTAGTGTAATGGCTCCTTAGTGTGCCAAGTCTCTGAGGGCACACGCTGAATACGTGCATGCCCCCAGAGAGACTTGAAACACTTGGAATTTATGAGGAAATGCCACAGAACCGTTCAGAGTATATTTCTGTATTTCTGGGTTTTAGGGGCCCTAAAATCAAGCATCGATATCGATAACTTATCGATGAAAGGAATAAAGAGAGTAACCTGAACTACTTTAGGCCAGGATATTTCACTCCAGTCTGTTTCACTCAGCTTCATCAACTGCAAGGATACAGCCACGCCTCCTGCTGCAGCTCCAGCTCCTGCTGCGTTACACAAATTGTCTTAAAAACTAGATACCCTTAGCTATACCCTTCAATTGGTTTTAGGGTATACAAAGTATTTGGCTTCTGTGTTTACATAGCGCAAAA